CACTCCACCCCCAAAACTCCCAATTGGTGATGGGGCAGTTGTGGAGAGAGTGGAGAGCTTCCCATACCTGGTCAATGTGCTCATGACTGGCTCCAGTTTAACAGCAGAGGTCTCACTCCGAATCGGTCGAGCGGCAATATCTTTTAATCGGTTGCGTAACGCTGTGTGGAAGCTACCTGGTCTGTCGCTCCGCACTAAGCTTCAGGTCTTCTCGGCCACGGTCATTCCCTCCCTTCTCTACGCGTGCGAAACTTGGACCCCCTTAATGGAACATCTTCGCTGGTTGGAAACATTTAGGCTGGCCTTCCTACGATCCATCCTGGGTTTAACCAGACTGGATTGTGTGAGCTCACAAATCCTTGAAAGATCTGGGCAAGGTCCCATCGGTGAGCTCCTCCGGCGGGCAAGGCTGCGATGGCTGGGTCATGTAGCCCGCATGCTCAGCCACCGCATGCCGAAACAACTTTTGCTCGGCCGGATTGAGGGGGCTAAACGGGCGTGGCACGGGCTAGAGAAGAGATGGAGTGATGTGGTACGGGAGGACGTGGAGCTGAGTGAACTTGCCGATGACTGGTACCAGCGTTGTCAAGATCGGCCTCTGTGGAGGAGGCTCATGAAGGACGCTACTGGGCAGTTGGAGGCAGTCGCCCTCCAACAACAACGGAGGGCGGAGGAACGACGCTCACAACAACGAGCGGAGCGCCGGGTGGCTAAAGCACAGCAGGTTGGCACAGTAGGGGGCACAGGTGGTGCATCAGCCAGTCATCTCAGTCATCTCAGTCAGTCGACCCGTGGCACCTGGGTCTGCCAGCGGGCGTTCGACACTTCACGTGGCCTCAAGGTGCACATGGCCTGGCACCGCCACTTAGTGGCGAATGGCGGTTGTTGTTGTTGTTGTTGTTGTGCGTCACCGCAGACTGGATCCGCGTGGAACGCGACGAGGCCGGAGCTCACGGCAAGACGAAGGAGACAAACACAGCCGACACGCAGCCTGCAACGTGAGACACCTCCACAACCACAACCACCACAACCACCACAACCACAACCACCACCACCACAACCACCACAACCACCATAACCACCACCGCCTTCACAATCACCACCATAACCACCACCACCGCCTACACCACCACAACCACAACCACCACCACAACCACCACCACCTTCACAATCACCACCATAACCACCATTACCGCCTACACCACCACCTCTACCACCAACACCACAATCACCACCACCACTACAACCACCTCCACCACTGCCACCTCGACCACCAACACCACCACCTTCATAATCACCACTACCACCATCTCCACCACAATCACCGCCACCAGAACATCCACTACCTCCACTACCACCAACACCACAATCACCACCACAACCACCTCCACCACTGCCACCTCCACCACTGCCACCTCCACCACCAACACCACCACCTTCATAATCACCACTACCACCACCTCCATCACAACCAGCTCCACCACCACCTCCACTACAATCACCACCAACACCACAATCACCACCACAATCATCATCACCACCACCACAACCACCAACATGACCTGAACCAGTCCATTCTCTCACTAGTCCCTTCACTCATTCATTTGCTCATTCATTCTCTCACTCGTACGGTCACACATTCGCTAGCTCTCTCATTCATTCTCTCACTCGTATGTTCATCCACTCACTCCTACGTTCACTCATTCGTTCACTCATTCATTTGCTCATTCTCTCATTCATTCTCTCGCTCGTACTTTCATCCATTCACTCATTCATTCACTCATTCATTTGCGTATTCATTCTCTCATTCATTCTCTCACTCATACGGCAACACATTCGCTAGCTCTCTCATTCATTCTCTCACTCGTATGTTCATCCACTCACTCCTACGTTCACTCATTCGTTCACTCATTCATTTGCTCATTCTCTCATTCATTCTCTCGCTCGTCCTTTCATCCATTCACTCATTCATTCACTCATTCATTTGCTTATTCATTCTCTCATTCATTCTCTCACTCATACGGCAACACATTCGCTAGCTCTCTCATTCATTCTCTCACTCGTATGTTCATCCACTCACTCGTACGTTCACTCATTCGTTCACTCATTCATTTGCTCATTCTCTCATTCATTCTCTCGCTCGTCCTTTCATCTACTCACTCATTCATTCACTCATTCATTTGCTCATTCTCTCATTCATTCTCGCACTCGTACGGTCACACATTCGCTAGCTCTCTCATTCATTCTCTCACTCGTCTGTTCATCCACCCACACTTTCATTCACTCATTCGTTCACTCAATCTCTCATTCTTTCGTTCGCTCATTCCGTTCCGTTTTTGTTTTTTTAACGCAGATTCCGGAACGCCGCTGATTCCGAGGCCACTGCCTTTCCGTCGTCAACATCGTCATCAGCATCGTCATCATCATCATCAGCAGCAGCAGCATCATTCTCATCGGCGGCGTTGGCATCGTCATCATCCGGCGCGGGTGGTGAGACGCCGCTCTCTGCCAACGCGATCCCCACGGTGGCCGCGGTCAGAGGTGGCGGAGGAGGATTAGCGGCACGAAGGTGCGGGGCACACACACACATACACACACACATACACACATACACACACATACACACACATACATATACACACACATACATACACACACATACACACATACATACACACACACATACATACACATATACACACACATACACACATACACACACATACACACACATACACACACATACATACACTATACACACACATACACATACACACACATACACACACACACATACACACACATACACACACACATACACACACATACACACACATACACACACATACACATACACACACATACACATACACACACATACACACACATACACACACATACACACACACATACACACACACACATACAAACACATACATACATACACACACATACACATATACACACAGATACACACATACACACACACACACATACACTCACACATACACATACACACACATACACACACATATACATACACACACAAACACACACATACACACATACGTACACACACGTACACACACACGTACACACACATACACACACACATACACACACATACACACACACGTACACACATACACACACGTACACACACATACAACAACAACAACACAACAACCGCCATTCGCCACTAAGTGGCGGTGACGTCACCACGACGCTTGTGCCAGGCTATGTGCACCCTGAGGCCACGTGAAGTGTCGAACGCCCGCTGGCAGGAGGTCACGGGGCAGACCCAGGTGCCACGGGTCGACTGACTGAGATGACTGGCTGATGCACCACCTATGCCCCCTACTGTGCCAACCTGCTGTGCTTTAGCCAACCAGCGCTCCGCTCGTTGTTCTGAGCGTCGCTCCTCCGCCCTCTGTTGTTGTTGGAGGGCGACTAACTCAAACTGCCCAGTAGCATCCTTCACGAGCCTCCTCCACAGAGGCCGATCTTGACACCGCTGGTACCAGTCATCGGCAAGTCCACTCAGCTCCACGTCCTCCTGTACCACATCACTCCATCTCTTCTCTAGCCCGTGCCGCGCCCGCTTAGCCCCCTCAATCCGGCCGAACAAAAGCTGTTTCGGCATGCGGTGGCTGGGCATGCGGGCTACATGACCCAGCCATCGCAGCCTTGCCCGCTGGAGGAGCTCACCGATGGGACCTTGCCCAGATCTTTCAAGGATTTGTGAGCTCCTCACACAATCCAGTCTGGTTAAACCCAGGATGGATCGTAGGCAGGCCAGCCTAAATGTTTCTAACCGGCGAAGATGTTCAATTAGGGGAGTCCACGTTTCGCAAGCGTAGAGAAGGGAGGGAATGGCCGTGGCCGAGAAGACCTGAAGCTTAGTGCGGAGCGACAGACCAGGTAGCTTCCACACAGCGTTACGCAACCGATGAAAAGATATTGCCGCTCGACTGATTCGGAGTGAGACCTCTGCTGTTAAACTGGAGCCAGTCATAAGCACACTGCCCAGGTATGGGAAACTCTCCACTCTCTCCATAACTGCCCCATCACCGATTTGGAGTTTTGGGGGTGGAGTGTCCGAAGGTACAAAATACCCAGGCAGGTGCTTAGCTTTGGTGGGGCTGATGGTAAGGCCTCACCTCTTAGTGGCACGCTCCAGCCTCAGCAGCAGCGTCTCCAACTCCTCCTCTGAATGAGCAGCTATTACCAAATCATCAGCATACATAACGTGGTTGAGCAATAGGGAGCCATCCCTTGACCGCACCCAGGCATCGATCAGCCTCCCATTATATCTGTACCATATGGAGATTCCCCCGGTACAGCTATTGAAGGCTTCACGAACTACGTGGTCAAAATAGATGTTAAATAATGTGGGAGCCAGAGGACATCCCTGTCGCACCCCAAGGTGTAGAGGGAATGGCTCTGACTCCCGGCCACGTAGTTTTACCCGGGCCCGCTCACCATCATGAAGGTCCTTAATGATCGTGAGCAGAGGGTCAGGTACTCCAAAAGCACGAAGAACAACCCAGAGGCCATGCCTACTGATGGTATCATAGGCCTTGACCAGGTCAATAAAGCAGAGATGTAGGTCTTGTTGGAATTCCCTACACCTCTGCTGTAGCAGACGGACAGAAAATATGGCATCTGTGCAGGACCGCCCTTTCCTGAAACCACATTGGGGCTCCGCAAGCCTCTCCTCAGCGTGCCTGGTAAGGCGATGCTGAATAATCCTTGCCAGGACCTTTCCTGGCACACTGAGGAGTGAGATGTCCCTGTAGTTGTTACAGTCTGTGCGGTCCCCCTTCTTAAAAAGGGGGACCACCAGGGCATCCTTCCAATCCTGCGGAACCCATCCAGTGGTCCAGACCGTTGTTATGATGTCATATAGGGCAGTCTGTGCACAAACGCCACCCTCCCTCAGCATTTCGCTTGGGAGATCATCTCTGCCCGCTGCCTTTCCTGGTCTCAGACTCCGGATCGCCTTCAGTACTTCCTCAACACATGGCACCTCAGCCAGCCACTCACAGGGGGTGACTTCTTCCAATATTTGAGGCACCGCAGCCTCAGCAGGGTCATCCTCACTTTGTGCCACGATATTTTCCTGGCTGAGGGATTTTCCTTCCCCCAGGACCTCACAGAAATGCTCAGCAAATCTGCAAACCTGTTCCTGGGGGTCAGAGGTTGGATCACCGTTTTTTCCCCTAATGATGGTAATAGGTGTGGCGCTGCAGGTTACTTTTTTGATGGAGTTAAATAGAGATTTGTGATCATGGGCCACTGAGGCAGACTCCATCTCCTCAGCAACCCGCGACCACCACCCATCCTTGCAGCGCCTCACGGCTCTCCGAACCTCCGAGCGAAGGCTGCGGTAAGCCTCCTCATTCTCTGACATGGGATCCTGTAGCCGATGACAGTGGGCCTGTCGCTTTTTCTCAACCATCCTGAACACCTCCTCTGTCAGCCAGGGTCTCTGGGTGAGGTCTGGACCGCTTACCCAAAGCAGCCATTGCAGCTGCATGAGTCACAGTCCTAAACCTCGCCCATTTACCCTCGACATCAGGAGGAGTCGGGGACGATGCCAATCCCAGCCGCAAGCGATGATGAAATATTCGCTTCGAACTTTCATCAGATAACTGAGACCAGGCCACTTTAGGTTGGAATGGGGTCCTGGGTGTACACCCACCACCGGAGTGGAAGAATGGCAGGTGCATCTTACAGATGACTAGTCGATGGTCAGATCAGCTCCACGGTAGGTCCTGGTGTCAAGGACATGGGCTCGCATCCGCTGGTCCGTCACTATGTAGTCCAGCAGATGTTCTTGCTTGGACCCGGCATGCATCCATGATGTTGTGTGGATGCGCCAATGCCGGAACAGCGTGTTGGTAATTACAAGCCCATGGGCTGCACAAAAATCTAGCAGCCTCCTACCGTTGTTATTGAGCTGATCTGGCCCATGCCCTCCAATCACTCCAGACCAGGTGCCAGTATCATGACAAACTCGGGCATTGAAGTCATCCAACATGATGACTCTATCCCAAGGGGCCACTTTAGCCAGCACCTGTGACAGGAGGTCATAGAAGGCATCTGACTCATCGGCTTTGCCTGCATCCCTCCACGGATGTTCATCTTCGGTGGGGGCATAAGTAACCACGACCACCATTCCTCGCCTCCGGTTGATGGGAAGGCGAGCCCAAAATAGCCTGGGGCTTACAGCTTCCCACACCTCACCGCCACACTCCCACGCCCCCTTCATTCTTTTGTTCAAAAGAAGAGCCACACCCTGTTGTTTGGCAGTCTGCTGCCCCGAGTAGAGGACTGTCCACCCCTCATGGTGGCAGGAGCCAGAGCCGGTCCACCGGACCTCCTGAATGCCACATAGATCCAGGCGGTACCGGTCCAGCTCCCGACAGAGGAGTGGCAGCCTCTCCTCCGCAGTGTGCGTTCGAACATTCCACGTGGCCACCCGTAGTGGCTTTTCGTTGTTTCTGGAGGAGCCCCGAGGGTAGATATTCAATCTCCTGGCTCCGCCAATTTGGGTTTGGCCAGGAGACGTCATAGACGCCTGGCCCCCCGGGGCCTCCGGCACAAGCTTTTTAGTTACATATTTCAGTTTAACTCGTGGTTTAGTGGTAATTAATTGAAGGTGGAGGGGTTACCAGCCCCTCGCACCCGTCCATGTACACACACACACGTGCACACGCACGTACACACACACACACGTACACACACACATACACACGTACACAAAGATCCCCCATATAGCCTTAACAGACTGTAGGGGCAAGTGCTGTTAGCGAGCACCTATGAAGGCCGGAACGGTACACGAGGGGGTGGGTGGCCAGCACCACGCCCGACCGCCTTTGTGTCCCTAGTGGCAATGTTTACACACCGCACCAGGTACTCATTTGAGGCTGAGTCGACCTAGGGGAGGCCCGGGACCGGTTCGGATAATCGTCACTGGTATTGGCCGTGAGCGGGAATCGAACCCGGGTCGACAGGTTCATAGCGCAGCGCGCTAACCGCTACACTATCGCTCCCCATACACACACGTACACACGCGTACACGTACACACATACACACACGCACACACTTACACACATACACACACGTATACACACGTACACACACACACGCGCACACACACCAAGGCTTTGTTGTCGAATAATTTCATTGTTGATCAGCACCTCGGCTCCCTTGTTCCCGACTCCAACCTGGCCTTCCACAATCTCACTTTCCTCCCGTTGAACCAGACCCCCCGCACCTCTCCGTAAGAGTTACACACCTATCGCGATAGGCCACGTAGCAACTGTCAGCTGCGGTGGCTTCGGGCGACCGACGTTACCCCGAGTCTGCCCAGTCTCCGCGACCCGCGGCCATCCCCTTGCTTATCCAAGCGCAGCGTCCGTCGCGCGGCTTCTGCCACCGCCGGGCCCATCGCCCGCTTTGAGTCGACCGCTCCGATCCTCCACGGGTCTTTTGCCAAGCTCCGCGGAAAGTGGCCGCGCCCGGTGCAGGATGAAACCAAGCCCGGGGCCTGCGTAGCATGT